CCTTCTTTTTTTTTTTTTTATTCTGGTCCAGCTTTAGCTTTGAGGCTTGGCTCCAGCTCTTAGGCCTCCGCTGCTGAAAGTAGGTTTCTGGCCTTTGCTTTCAATGTTGAGAATCTGCTGGCTGAAGTCCGGCGGTAATTGTTACATAGTTGCTTAGAGTTGCAGTTCAGAGGCCTGCAGCGCAGGCGGGGAACATTGGTTTCCTCTGTCACTGAAGCAAGCAAGCCTCATGTTCAGTTTAAGCTGCCTGGCTTCCGGCCGCCATCTTGGCTGGCAGTTAATTTGCATATTGCCCTGATTATCCAATGGGAAGGGTAGCGGTCATACACCAATTACCATGTTTCTCTTTTATTAGATAGGACAAGTGTGCAAGGGTCCCCTTTAGCTCCACAGGTCCAAGTGTCAAAGGAGAACAGGGCTCCACAGGGTGCTTTCCTGTCTCCGCATGGCTCTTCCCGGAGCACCGGCCACTGCTGCGCTCCTGCAGTCAGAGCACAGGCAGCAACGTGGCGCAGCCTCGTTCTGAGCGGGTCCGAGCCACCTCAGACTGGTCCCCTTGCTACTCCCTTCACCACGCCTGTCCTGTCCTCTCCAGCTCCACGAGAAGTTTGACCTCCTGAAGCGGACGCACCAGGAAGAGAAGAAGAAAGTGGAAGACAAGAAGAAGGAGCTGGAGGAGGAGGTGAACAACTTCCAGAAGAAGAAGGCGGCTGCCCAGCTGCTGCAGACCCAGGCCCAGCAGTCTGGGGCCCAGCAGACCAAGAAAGACAAGGATAAGAAAAAGTAAGCAGGTGTCCCCGGTGCAGGGGCCTCTAACAGTTTATTCCTCTTGCATGTCTCTCCTTCCCCATCTCCAGACTGGAAACTGGTCTCTTACCAGGAAGATCCACGCAAGCATTTTCTCTACAGTGCAGGGAAGAAGATACAGGTTTTTAAAGTGTTTCTAAAGGGTGCACAGCATTACTTTATGAGGCTTGACCCCATGACCCCGCAGTCAGGACTGGGCTCACTTTGGTCTCCAGTCTTGTCTTCTGCACCAACGCTAGGACTTGGGGGAAGACGGTTTATTTCTCTCACGACCCTTTGGCGACGGTCCTCGTGACTCCCGATAAAGAGCATCCTAAAGTTACGATTGTCACAGTTATTTTTCCAGTCTGCGTTGTTAGGCTTGACAAGCTAGTCATGGATCCCCAGATGAAAGATTTGGAAGAACTGCTAGTGGCCACTAGTTTCCCTCTAAATTCAACAAGATGGTTAGTTGTTTTCTTGGGAAATGGGGTCACAATCCCATCCAGTTAAGCCCACCCGCAACAACCCTCAAGACACGCCTGTACCCACGCACAAAACAACGTTTTTAAACGTGGCTGCGGTTTAATGAGCCAAAGGTCAGGGTCTGCCCTCGTGTCGGTCACTTCCCGTGATGCTCCAGTGGCAGCTCCCGAATCCACCGGAGCTCGGGCCTTCCTTGTCATTCTCCGGTGATTTGAAGCTCATGTCAAATCCCTTAAAGACTAGACAGTGCAGTTTAAGGCATTGGCTGCCGGTTTGGCAGGAGGCTCAGGGCCAGTGAGATGCCTGGACAAGCTGTGTGTGGCCGGATGGCCACCCGGGGACACTGCCCTGCTTGGTGCAGGCAGTGCTCTCAGGGCAGCAGTAGGACAACTCGGAATGTGCTTGGGATTCCTGCTCTCCATCCCGAGACGCTACCGTTCTAGGGGGAAAGCTGACATGTAAACCATAAAAATGGTGGCACTTGAGCAGGCAGAGACCCTTTTTTTAAAATATAGAAGATAGGATTGAGTCTGCACAGGAATTGAGACCTGCCATAGGGACTGGTCACTGTGTCTTGGTGAACAGACGCCCCTTGAGGAATCGTGTCACGAAGCCCGTGGTAGAAATCAAACGCGCTGCTGTGTGACCCACGGAGAGAGTTTTACATTGTGCTCTGCAAACTGGACCAGCTCGCAGGCCGCAGAGAGTGCATCGGGAGAGCAAAGGGCAGGCACGTTTTCTGAGCAATAGAGAGGCATCCGCGTGGAGGGGGTGTGCTTCTAACGGGGTTGGTGCAAACCCAGGTGATGAAAGGACTCCCAGGGCTGAAAACATTTCTGCTAGGTGAGTTCTGGCTGGCGATGGCCTCGATCATAATCTAGTTCAGGAAAGCACTTTGTAGCTAGCTACACACACCGCAGGGCGTCGGCCCCTGGCGGTGACATTCCCATGCAGAGCCAGTCCAGCAGCCGCTGCAGTGCAGACAGACGGAAAGCCATTTGACATCAGACCTTTATGGATCCAAACTCACCCCAGACAGAAATAGGTATAGGGGTGTGTGTGTGTGTGTGTGTGTGAGTGAGTGTGTGTGTGTGTGTGTGTGAGTGTGTGTGTGTGTGAGTGTGTGTGTGAGTGTGTGTGTGTGTGAGAGTGTGTGTGTGTGTGTGTGTGTGTGTGTGTGTCTACATCTATAGGCTTGAATGAGACAGAAAAAGCTGCTGACTCACAGCTTAGGAAACCCAAAGTTAAGTCTTTCTTACCCTGAAGCACTAATGTATATAAAGGTATATATTTTAGAACTAAAAATGTTTATAAAAGACCAGCAATGTTCTAAGGATATTTCACATATACTGGATGTGCCTTTAAGCAATAAAAATTCCAAGAGCTGATTGGTATTGTGCCTCCATTAAAAAAACAAAATCTATCTAGTAACAGACTTCCCAGCATAGGGAGATTTTTCCTGTTGAGCATTTCAGGTTATTTTCTTCCCATCCGTGGACCTCAGCGATGTCTAATGCTCTCAAGTCATGTGAAGTATGTGTGAATTCTACTTTAGCCTTATGTATATATTCTCATTGATTATTCGTGGAATTCGGCTTAATTTGGTGCGCAGGCTTTGTGCCTGCCAATGGCATGTATTTTTCGGTAACTTCTAGGTTCCCACCCTTTTCCACACTTCACCATTTGAGCAGTGAAATCCACTGCCAGTTGGAGTCCTGAAGTGTAAAATTAAAACAAAAACAAAAGAAGCACCACTCCTCTGACCGCCAGTGGAGAGTTTTGGGGAGAGAGGACCACAGAGACAGTAGCCAGGGTACCCAGGGCAGCACTGAAGTGAATGGAAGACTCTCTTCCCCGTGCAGCCGCGGGCGATGCTGGAGTCACTGTGCAGCCACCAGGAGCTGGCTTTGTTCTAGGGAGAGGACAACAGAGATGCGTATTTATTCACCTGCTATGTTCCCGCCTCAGAGCCTGACTCCGTGTTTCTAACAGTTCTAAATTCTGTTTCTTTCTATTTTAATGACATGCTCCCTTTCTAACGTAGGTAAGGCTTTATCCTTCTCCTTGACCTGTAGTGGCATGAGATCATATAACATTTCCTAAGATTACAGACACAGTAGAACTAACCCTGGCACTGCCATTAGCTGGACCCCACCTCCTGCCATCTCTGGCCACCAAGTCGCTTTCCTTGTTGGCGGCTACACCGCACGGGTGGGACGGTAAGTTGTTCAGTGGACAGCGTTCATCTTTTCTGAGAAGCGTGCACAACGCCAGCAGCCATTTGCTGGTTACGATACATCCATCCCAAAAGAAAGTTTTAAAATTCATCATTTTAAAACTGTACCTGGCTGGCATCTGATAACTATAGTTTATACAATCATCCACTCGCTTTTTATTTATTTTGTATTGATTCTTGCTAAGGAATGAAGTTGCATGATTTGGACTTGCCTCCAGTTAGACATGTGGATCTGGGATTTGGCACTGCCTTGAACCTAAAAGAGGGGAATTCTCCTGGCATTGCTGTAGCCGTAACCACATAATGGTTGTCCTTTTTCATTTCCTTCCCAAGTGGATTAATAGCATGTCCTCCATCCACTATATTGCAAGCCCCAAGTTAATTATTCAAAGTCATTTGTAGCAGATTTATTCTCTTACTCCAGGAGCTCAGAAATTCAAGCTGCAACTCCTATTTAGTACAGATGTGATACCCAAATCGAACACAATAGATAATGGTTTTGTGTTACTGGATAAAATGAAAATCAAACAGTAAACCCTTCCATTAGGACATGTAGTGGTTTCACAGAGCCACCTGTGAATTCTAAATTACATGCAAATGGAAACTAACCACGTGTTTTTTAATTCAGTATTAAAACGTTGCTTTTGCTTGTCATGTAGAATAGCTTATTCGGATTTTTGGTTTTAGTTTCTGTCAATTCCATAATCATTGCATGAGCATTCACCATCACCGAATGCTGGTGCTGGCGCTCCTAATTTCCCTTTATTTTTTTGTTATTGTTTCTAACTTTTTTGTTTTGTTTTTTAACTTGCAGTGCAAGCTTCACATAAAGCCTGGCAAGCCAAGGATGGTCCCGCATTCACCTGCTTTTGCAGTAATACTGTATCGCTGCCATCTGTGTCCGTTTTTTTTTTTTTACCTTTCCCCAGATACCAATAACTCTTAACTCATTTTGCTGAATGTTGTTGGGTGCTGGAAAGTGATAGAACAAGGGAATGACAGCAAAAGCTCTGTGCAGCGGGACGTGGCCTCTGGAAGTAAATGAGTTGCCTTTCATGCCTGTTCTGAGTGGCGGCAGGAAGCATGCCTGCTACTTGTATGTTGCTTTGGACGGAGGGAAGGAGGGTAAATTGCTGCACGTTCATCTGACAGGAAAACTCACCGCCTCAGCAGCTGAACCATAAACCTGAATATCCATGACAACTTACTGTTTTTAATTATTCATGATGGCAAAAGCCCTGAATTCACTCTCTGTCTCTTCTCCACACCCACCCCAAACCCAAGATAGCTTTGCATGTAGGCAGGCCGGTGGGTAAGCTGTATGTGACTTTTAAACTTGCACGGATTGCTCATTGTTATAATAACATTATTTGGTCTGGGTTGTGGGTCTGTTCAGACTGACTGTCTCTGCTTATGGCTTTAAAAATGTGTCTGAACCCCTATCTCTCAAATTCTGGCCGAGTTGAACTGTCAGCAGATCAAGGCTACACTGATAAAAGTGAACATACTCATCGTTTCATAATCAGTAATCTCAAAAGTCGGATAAAGCAACTTTGCTTAGCAGAAGCTACTAAGGGTGATAGAATTAGCAATCTTTCATAAACACCGAAATCTGCTCTCAGTGGGCTGAGAGGAGGACCTAACACCTGATGCCAGGGACTCGGTACCTCCAATAACATTTTTCAATAATCATGAGAAGAAAATTTTCAGAAATCCTTCAAATAAAAAATGTGTTGTAAATTGTGTATCATCTGGAGCACAAATTTGAGGGTGACTTGTCAATTTCGGGTAGAAATGGGAAGGAACATCACACAAACCTACAAGTAAAAGAAAGTAGAAATTCACCTTCACCGCCAACCTCCTTGCATAGGGTCCTTTTGCTATTTGGCAATAAAGGGAAGAAAAAATATTACAGCTGGTCTTTCAAATCCAGTTGTCTTGACGGAATTTCCTCAACTTTCCTTTCACAATTAGCTCACCTCCCTCTTCATGCCAATCCATGAAGGTGAGGACTAACCCGTATGCCATGACATAGGCTACCCCCCATTGTTGTATGGAAATGGGCATATGTAATCTTTTTTTAGATAAGGCTTATCCTTTCATCTTCTTGATTTTTCCCCCTCCTAATAACAAGATCCTACCAGCTTTCCCTCTAACTCTATAGTCTCCTGTTCTTACATGAAAGACTGCATTTCTCATGAACTTGATGCTTTAGTATTTTTTTCGGCATTTTCCTTCTGGACTTACTAGTCCTACATAAATAGCATAGAGTGTCCTGTACCTCCCCTGACACACACACACACACACATTTTTAGGTCTATAGATGATTCCAGTAAGGATTATTTTTCCCTTCTCTTGGTCCTCAGCCATACTCTTAGGGGAAAGGAATGGTCTTCCATGAACTGATTTGGCTAACGAAGCTGGGACAGAAACTGCAAACGAGGAGCAGCATTAGTGATACAGAGACAGGTGTCAGGGTAACTGGGCCAAGGTTTCTGTTTTTGTCTTTTTTTTTCTTCTTACGATTCTAGTGTGATGCTGGCTGTGGAGCAGCGGCTATCGGATGGCTTGCTGATTCTAACCACGGGCTGAATTTGCTCATTTGCTTGCACCAGACAAAAGCTTGGATCCTTGTGTTGTATGCTTGTCCCAACCGCTGCTTGTGTGAGCTTTTCTGTGCTTTGTAACAGAAAACACACTTCTAAATTCTCAAAATGCATCACTTTAAAATCATTTTTAGAGCATCACTAAACCCTCTTTAAAGCGAGCCTAGCCATGAACGGCGTCCAGCTGACTTTGATTCCAAGATTATTGATTGATTTTTTCCCATTAAATTTTCACAGTAAGATAAATCATATGGAGAGTCAGAGAATAAAAAGCCAAAAGAAGTATATAGTCTAGAGAAGCTTTTTAAAAATGCGTTGCTTCTGAACTTTCTCCTACCCCTGCTCCCTGGCCCTGTTTGGTTTGTTATTGCTGTCCTTCTTTCTGTATCTGTGCCTTTTTTCACAGTAGTCCTTGGCTCTGCACGGAGTAAATGATACCCTCCAATCTAATTGGATGTGCTTTCGCCTTTGCATGTAAGTACGGTAGTAAGAAACTTTTGAGATTTTTCTGACTTTAAAATTAGAGAAGCATATGGGATAGGTGGATTTTTTTTTTTTTTTCCTTTTTGGAGGGGGAAAGGGAGGTAATGGTTTGAGAAGCTTTTGGTTTAAAAATAAAAGCTAACTATATTTAAAATGGCCAATTTTATATCTTTTTTCATGAGAAACACATAAATTCAATTTTTCTTTGATATCAGTATGGAAGCCAGAAATTACTAGTCCCCCACCACACAGCACTGTGGGTGTCAGCAGATGTATTACAGAGGGCCCTCAGTTCTATGTAAATACAGTTAGAGTGAGAAACTACCACCTTCCACTGGAGAAAATCAAGAGGAAATATTGCTTATGCTAGGCTGCCTCGATGGCTGTTTAATTTTTTGTGATCTTGCTTGAATGGCCTGGCCCTCTGGCAGTGATCACCTCTTTTTTTAAAGCCAGGTGGCCCCAGCTGGCCCCTCCCCACATCTGTTCAGTCATAATGGCCAACCTTGTGCCTCTCCCGGACTTTGGATACCGTAGTTGTGGTGCATGCAGTAGGATGTGGACGGAAAACATTTATGAGAATTTATTGGGAGGTCAGACTGTGTTTTCCAGCTGAGGCTCTTTATTAATGGGTCAGGATTCTGTCCAGAAAGGGCACCTCCAACGGGGACAGTTAACGTAAAGCTGGGCACAGGCTGCTTATCTTCCTCCTCTTCTTTGTAATCTCACCAGCAATAAAAATACTCTTCACGTCTGTGCACCTCCAACAAACAGACTTGGTTTCCTCGCTTCCCTGACATATCCATGTGTTTCACATACACTCTGATCAGGCTTTTCAGCTGTTATCACCCTTGTCATACTGTCTCTGTGTGGTCCGACCAAAGCTGTCCATTCAGACCATCTCCTGTTTCATTTGCAAGTGTTTGAAACTGTCAAGTCTCAGCTTCCGGAAGTCTTGGTTCCATTAACAGAATATGTATGTATGACTCCTGAGTGGAAATTATGACCTACAAAGTCTAGATTGTATGTAGGTATGAAGGGAATTTTTTTTTAATAAATTGGAAATTAAGCTGTGAACAGCATTAGAACTTTGTCTATTTCTTAATTTTAAAATATGCTGATATGCCTTAAAATGTAGTTGTAGATCATTGTCATTTTGCTATTTGAAAATAACCAATGTGTTTCTAAAACTGTTGTGTAATCTACTTTCAGTGTTAATGCAAAATTGTCATATATGTAAGCTGCATGTTTGCCTTGTCTTTTTTTAAAAAAAACTAAAATAATTGTATCGATGTGAAGCATATCATTTTTTCAAGTATGAAGGTAATCACTTAGCAAACATGCCCAGTAATGTGGTGTCTGTTACGGCAGGAGAGTGTGGCCAGGTAATCTATGCATATATCACTAGTGCCAACACACAGCGTGGGGAGAAATATATTTTTACCCAAACATCGTGTGCCCTTTTGTGAGTTCTTTTAGTCCCTGTTTGATATGCATGTGCACCCATGCTGATTACACGGGAAAAAAAGAACAGGGAAGAGGCCCCGGCTTCCCTGCCGCGTCTGGTGGGCAGCACCCATTTCGCCAAGATACCATCTGGTGTCCTGTGCTTCACAGGCCGTCTCTACCACTTCCTCCCCCATTCCCAGGCCCTTCCGTCCTGGCCAGTGTCCCCTGGTGCCCAGGCCCCTGGCCAGTGTCCCCTGGTGCCCACTGCGGAGGCACCTCTTCGTGCCTGGCCTTTGCTGCCGGCGCTGCAGCGCTCACACCTGTGCTCGGGGAAGTGGTCCCTTTAACTGACACTGCTGTCCTCTCCCAGTTCGTTAGAGAGACACTCTTATTTTTAAGCCTTTATGAACCACATTTGAATCTGAACTTTCTTTTTTCTCTTCTGTAGCTTCTTCTTTATGTAACCATCCTGTTGACAAGCCCTACTCTCTCCTAATGGACATAGAGCATTAGAAGAGCAGGAGCTGTCTGTTCACACGTGTTGGGGAAGAGTTACCTCATTTCCACCATCGCCTCCTTTTAAAGTCTGGGTTGAATATTGCACTGTTGTTTGTATTTGTCAATTTCTGTTTACAAGCCACTACCCATAGTGGTTACTGAAGTGACTTATCACTACCAAAAAGTTATACTATTCACAAGGAAATCGAGTGAAACAGAACTGGGGCCAAGACCCAAGGTGGCCCTGTGTTGGGACTCTCTCTTGCTTAACAGTCAGGTTCTTGACGTTGCTGTCCAAGAATTCACAGACTGAAGACAGCATGTGCCCTGACCTGAGACAGCCCCACCTGCAGGGTTCACAAACTTGACCTCATGTTAACTCCATACCTCTGCCCCATGAATGACATTCTGAACAACCCCATTAGGACCTTCTCAACCATAAATCAGGCCATGAGATCTGGGCAACATTTTTCTTCCCTTTGTTAATTTTATGGGTTGTTTTGGAGTTTGGGTGGGTTTTTTTCTTAAATATTTGGTATTGCATGAACAGAGATGGCTGCATCTTTTTTCAGTTGGTGTGTTCTACTGATACAATGTTTTTATTTTTCAGCTGACCATCTGCCTCTTGAGAGAGAGAAGTGGGCATCCTTCCTTTAAATTCACGAACTTCTGTTGTTTTATTTGACTCTTTTTCTGTTATCTGCATCCCTTATTGTTTTGGGTTTGGGATTCTGTTTTGAAAAAAAAGAAAAAAAGAAGCCAGTTCTGCTTTATGTATTGGTTATTCAAATTTAGTTCTGGTATCAAAATTAAGCTAGTTTTAAGCTCAAGGAGAAATTTAAGTGAAGTCACAGAATTCTCTTAAAATAGTCTCATCTCAGACACACATGCACAAAAAACCTTTTGCTGTCAGAGGTTTTGACCTACATGTTTCAAATGTGCCAGTCCCGGGTAGATACTTTCCTGCCTCTGGGACTCAGTTTATATTTAAAGGGACCTGACAATAACGTCCTGGTCCATCCCTGCCTTTGTGTTTATGTGAAGCTCTTCTTTACCTCTGCCCAGAGTTGTGTCTTGGACCATGGGAAGTGAACCCTGAAAAAGCACCCAGCCCGTCCCAGACAACAGCCTCGTTAGCAGTGGTTCTGATCCGGTCTTCTCAGAGTTACCAGGTGGCTTTAAGTTACCCTGTAACCTCACTACTCATCTATAGTTTTTGCTTGTTTCCATCATTTTTCAGCCCCACAGTAGGCAGATCACAAAAACATTGTTGGTGGCACGAGTTGCATGCAAAGATCCTTTGGAATGTCCCCTCTGCTTAAGGATGGTGACACAGGCTTCTGTTGGAGGGTGAGATGAAGGAACAGCCCCCGCCTCTCGAATCATTGAATTCTTGGAAAGAAGTTTAGAGCAATGAGATGAGCATGGTTTTTTTTCCTTAGACACTTATTAAATGCAATAGTCAGATTCATCTGAGTCACTAAATGATCAAATTTTTAGTAAAGAACCATCCCTTCAAGTATAACCTGTAAGGATAGAAATCTGCTAGTGACCGGGAGCTGGAGGGGGAGGATGGGTAGTACTCATTTAATGCTAGAACATGACAAATCAACATACCAATTATATGGTAAACTATTGCCTGTGAAACCACTGTAGTCACTAAGTAAAAAACTTTAAATTTTTAAACTCATTTTTAATATTTTAATATCAACTTTACCCTAGCACTCATTTTAAAAAATTCTGCATTCGGCTGTAGACATTTATTGACCAATATTTAAAAATCAAATTAGGCAGGATATTTTAAGTAGAGAGATATGTAGTCCACTGTTGCTATTCCTTTTTTTCCTTTTTAGACCTCTGATTAAAGGGAGTGTAATAGTAATCATCTTAATGAGAGGGATTAGGGAACAAGCTATTATAAGTAGACTAGAGGCCTGGTGCATGAATTCGTGCACCGGTGGGGTCCCTCGGGGTGGCCTGCAGAGATGGGCCCCAGCTCACACCCACAGCCCCAAAGCCCCGCCTGGCACCCCACCTTGGCCTGATGCCACCCCCTCACCTGCTCCACCACCCCACCTGCGGGGCAATCCCCTGCCTGGCTCCCTCAGCGCCCCTTGCCACTGCTGCTAGTCACTGTGGAGCAATTGGTGGGGCAATCAGTACCCCACTCACACCCGCCTTGACCTGGTGCCACCCGCTTATCTGCTCCACCACCCTACCGTGGTCCCGCTCTCATCGGGCCCATCGGGGCTGGCAGCGCCTCCACTGCTGCCTGCTGCTAACTCTGTGTCACCTGCCATGTTCTGTGCAGCCCCTTGGTCATCAGCACACATCATAGCCAGTGGTCAAATGACTGCCCGAGGGGACAATTTGCATATTAGGCTTTTATTCTATAGGATTGGCCTCTGCTCAGTTACGGAGGAAAAGCTGATCACGGACACACACCACTGGTCTAATGTACTGCCATCTCTCCATTTAGCTGGCATTTTACTTCAGTGGAGTTCCTTTTCTCAAGTGCTGATAACACTGGTAGGTTCTCAAGTTCTGGCTATGAAACCATCGCAGAGTTAATTATCAGTAATAAAAATTCACTTATTCCATGGTAGACTGAAAAAGCAAGAATTGATCCCCAAAACCTATTTGCATTGGTAACAAGCTATTTCCCATTCAATCTTTAAAAATATTACTTGGTTTCAGATACAGGCTGTGCTTTATTGCTCCAGGTGTGGCCTGGATGGTCTGCCAGATACTGCCGCAGCATTAGTAGAGATTGATTTCCTGAATCAGTATGTGCTGAAGTGGGGCAGATAAAATTAGGTCATCTTTCTAATATGGTTGGCCAAACTTTTTCCCATCAACTATACCTTCAAATGAAACTTCCTTCTTATTTTAGTTTTTTGGTTTTATTTTTGCCTATCGTTGGCCCAGCTTATGGGTAAAAAGTTCCAATATCTGAAAAACTAAGGACATAATTTTCACTATTCAAATGAGGTTTCTACCCAAAACCTTTTGCTTAGCAGATGACTTACCTTTCCACCCTGGAGATCGGCAATGATGGCATGCAGCTCACTTTGAATACCCTTGTACTTGAATTCTGAAGGCCGTGGTGTTTAGTCCTTGTGATTGACCCATTGGGCTTTCAGAACAATCTCTAGCAGGCAACTGGCACCCCCAAGGCTGGTGAGGGGCGAGGATATGTGCATTGTGAGTCTAGGTATCCACTCACCTCTCTCTCCAACATTGCTATTCTGACAAGTAGCTATATACAAGTGAGATCTTTTGGTTGTCAGTGGGACATTTAGTTGAGATACACATGACTCACATCTGGCTCATACTCAGCGCTGTGAGTTGAATGACATTTTCAGTTCGCTGTGGAAACTTCAAAATTATGGCATCTTGATAGATCAGAGGAGGCAGAGGCTATTACGTAACAAGGTTGGTCCCTGTCCCACAAGACAAGTGTGTATGGCGGGGAGGGTACAGAAAAACATCCTATATAGAGCTTGGCTCAACCACACATTCTCTGTACAATACTTTTAGACCTCTCCTTGCCCTATTCCCAT